CAGCTTTAACAGTACATCCTACTGGCACATCTGTTTTAGTCATTCACCTTGTTCCTTAAATAAATCCCTTTACTAACCAATATAATACAACTCAGACATTACCACTGTAAACAAATATGTTTGGCAAGGAACTATCTGCACAGCTCCAAGAATAGAGCACAAAATTTTTTCTTTGTGGTTTAATTGTATGAAAAAAAGAACCCCATGTTACAGTAACATGAGGAGGTTGCCCTGAAATGTAGGGAAAAAAAAAAAAAACCCAAGGAAATTTAGAGTGCACTGAAAATTCAGTTCAACACTGATCCTCACCTGACATCATTGCAACAAGGCTCTGAAGCAAAGCAACTCCATGCTTGCAAGCTGTGTGATCAGTTAAGGACAGCGTCAGACCACATTGTCTGTCTTAACTTAGGTTTTCTTGCCTTTGAGAGTTTAAATCAAACCCTTACCATTACTCCCAACAGATTTTTGTGGTTCAAGTTTGTTTTTTTTTTAAATGGCTTTTAAAGTAAAGGCCTCATGTCCCCGTAAGCTCTGTTTTTGAAACTCTCTGAATACAAATTTATGGTCTACTAGCAAATGTGTTTTAAAATGTGGATTTACTTTCTGTAGTGATTTTTTTAAAACAGAAGTTATATGAAGTACTTTGGAGCACATGAAAGACTCAACCCTTTAAAAGAAAAAAAGCTTCCTCCTGATCAATTCAACCTCAAAACTCTGGCTTGTTTAAAGAACATAGCCTACCTCTCTCCCTCCTCCTCTCCCCAAACAAGCATTACAAATGCAACATTATACAAGTTGAACTAACTCTAAACACTAAAAAAATGGGGGAGAGATAAACAGTGCTAAGGAACCCCAGGCACCCCGTAAATGGAATCTTTAAAATGCTTCTAAACGTCTTCACATCTCACCTGCATTGTTTTGTCTGAATGGATTAAAGGGATTTTTTTAAGTGTGCATTTTTTATTATAACTGCTTGTTCAGAGGAATATATTAGGGACTGAATCTATGCTAATCCATAATTTCAAGATAAGAATTCAAAATAGAACACATGGATCCAGGAATCTGAACGTATTGTATAAAAAAGAAATGCATTATGAAAACCTGTGACTGACTGACAACCACAGCGACTCACTTTAATCGTTTACATTTTTATTTAAACACAAAGGTAGTTGTCATGCAGATTAAGGGCCAAATTCAAAGGTAATGCATGAAGAAGTGTAAATTAGACATCCTTTAAGTAATTTAGAAATACTTTAGTAATGTGTAAATCTAAGCTGGTGTAATTTATACACCAATGTAGGAAACATAAGTGAAAGCAGGGAGGTAATTTACACCTTTTGCAGCTCTCTGGAGAGTAGATTAAACCAATTTAGACTCCCTTACACCTGGGTTGACTTAAGATAAGTAGGTCTAAATGAGTTTAAATCAATGGAGTGGGAGTCTAATTTATACCATTTTAGGTATCACCTTTAAATTAGTCCTGCAAAATGTCATTTGGAAAATATTGTTAACATAAAAATAACGCAGTATTATTGGTACTGTATTGATTAGTTAATAAATACAGTTAGTTGCACTTGCACAACATAAAACTTAAAAGATTATGTGAAAAAATCAATCAGCAAAAGCCTAATTATAGCAAGAAGGTGGATGCCTCAGGTAAGCAGGGTAAGATAAGATGGCATATCATTAATTTTAAATGTTCCTGGTACAGAAGTGCAGTCTAATCATGGATTATCAGCTCCACTCTCTGTGTGACTAGCACTCTGCTGATGAAATCACACATGCTACAAACCCAGGTAGAAACCTGGAGCTGGCCTGGAAAGGGCAAGTACTAGCTATACCTTTTTCAGAAGTTTTTAAAATGTTATAATGAGAGCTTGCTGATGTGCCACATGACATGGGAGCTGGGACTCTGTTGTGGAGCTAAGAACCCTGTACAAAGAAAGAGAAAGGTAAACTTTAAAGTTAATAATATGCTGATTCTCCCCCCACCCCCTTTATTCTGATTGGGGCTCTGTACAAGACATTCTAATGCTGGATTTTGTTGGCTTACATTTATATGCAAGAAAGATCACAGGCAACAGAGCAGGGTGCCAGATAAAAGTGTTTAAAGCTCTAGGGTGAAATCCGGGCAGTGTTGAAGTCAATGGATGCTTTCCCATTGATTTCAACGGAGCCAGATTTCACCCCTAGTGCCAAATTTTTTGCTGGTTCAATTTGACTCATTGCAGTAATTTCCAGCAGCAGAGAATTTGGCACATAGTTTTAAATCTGTTTATTTTTACTTATTTAAATTCAATCTACTTGAACCTTAAGATGAATAAATTTATGAGAAAAGAGGGGGAAAAAACTTTTTATTGCCCTTTTTTCCCTAGTTTAACTTTTTAAACTATTTAGGATGAGTTGTGCAAACCCTTACACTCATGAATAAAGGCACTCAATGCATATAATGGTTTGCAGGATCAGGCTCTCTGTTTAATACACTTGGTTAAAAAAAACTACACATTATTCCTGTATCAAAATCCTAAAGCCCAGGGTACATTTCATGCCAAATTTATACGCCCCTCAAAAACAGGATTTATTTTAGAAACATGGACACAAACACATTGCTATTGTTAACAGGGCAGCCTTACGGTGCCATACCGCACCAATAGTTACTGAATTAGATATGTGTCAGGAGAAGTTCAAGAAAATTAGACTTGAAAGTATACTTAAACAAAAGGGGGAAAAGAAAAGATTGCCTATATACATATCCAATTTTCAAACACTTCTAAACTAGGACCCCTCGCCATTAGCCCTGACTCATGCATGCTGTCCAACAGAACTCAGTGGGCCAGATTCTGATTGGTTACATTAGTGCAATCTATACTGGAATTGCTCTGGATTTACACCAGTATAAATGAGAGTAGAATGTATCAGTTGGAGTACTTATGTAGCAAGAATTTAGAAGGCTATGGGTATTTTTGTTGGGGGAGGGGAGAATCTGATTACCTTATACACAACTCCTGACAATTCTGGCTATTAAATCTTTTTTCCACTGGATATAATTTTTGCCTGAGAGCAAGGGGACACACATACACTGGTTTTATCTTTTTAAAAAAATCACTCTTATTTTAGACTAGACACAAACAATATTGAAAAAGGAGGAAAAAGCTTTTAATCTCACTTTTGCAAACCCTTCCTGTTTCACAGCTAATCTCTGCTAATGACTGGAAGATCCACTGCACATTAATAAAATACTATGAATTAGTGAATTCTTTTTTTTTTTAAGTCAAGTATAGTACATAAAAATTGTTTAGCTTTAATTGTATGAGAATCCTTCTTAGCCTACCAGTAAATGTTTGACAGTACAGTCTGTAAAAGTATTGACATTTTAATAATTTGAGGCTTCACTGGGATGCTATGGAAACAAGGTGCACCTTTCCATAAGCAACACTCCCTTCCAAGTCAGAACAGAATATACTTAGGCAGGAAAAAAATCAAATGCACAACTACAAAAGGGTCAATAACTGGTAATCCTGCTGAAAAGGAGCAGGGGTTATTGTGGATCACAAACTAAATGCATCAACAATGAAAAGCAGTTGCAAAAAAGGCTAATATCATTCTGGGGTGTCTTAACAGGAGCGTCATATGTAAGACCTGGGAGGCAATTGCCCTGCGCTACCCAGTACTAGTGAGGCCTCAGCCTGTCTCCAGTTCTGGGTGCCACATTCTAAGAAAGATAAGGAGAAACTGGAGAGTGTCCAGAGAAGGGCAACAAAAACGATAAAAGGTTTGGAAAACCTGACCTATGAGGACAGGTTTAAAAACTGGGCATGTTTACTATTGAGAAAAGATGACTGAGAACAGTCTTCAACTATGCGAAGGGCTGTTATAAAGAGGACAGAGACTGTTCTGCACATCCCCTGGAAGTAGGACAAGTAGTAATCAGCTTAATTGGCAAGGGAGATTTAGGTTAAATATGAGGAAAAACCTTTTGCTTATAAGGATAAACACCTTGGATAGGCTTCCAACGGAGGCTGTGGAATCCTCGTCAGCGGAAGTTTTTAAGAATGGGTCTGACAAACACCTGTCAGGGATGATCTAGGTATACTTGATCTTTCCTCAGAGCAAGGGATGGACAAGTTAACTCTCGAGGACCCTTCCAGCCCTACATTGCTATGATTCTATAACACAGACCTATGTACCACTTAAGTCTCATTCATATCTTAAAATATAGCATACGTGGGACTTTAAGTGGAGATGCACAGACCTCATACAGGCCCTCTACAAAGTGGTGAATTAACCTTTAAGTATTTACTGGCAAGTGGAGTAAGGCGATTAGGAATTTTTGGCAAGAGTTGTGTGGTTTGGAGGGAATTAGTGGGCCAATATCTGCTTTTAAATAACTGCAGCAGTTTAAATCCCAAATAACTCAGCTGTAGCATCTTTTAGAGGTAGTGGAAAAACAGATTAAGTCTATAGGATGCTACACTGGAGTTACTCGGAATTTGTATCACTGCAACAGAGCACTGTTCTGCCCAGCGAATTTTATACCATAGTATTATTTTATTGTTCTGGATGTTTCGGTCTGCAAAGCACATCAATTTTAAAAATTTCTACACAATTGTAGTATTTACTATTTGAGTTCAAATGGTCTTCTCAGAGACCACCTCCACCCGAGTGTCCTCCTATTGGTGACTGTAAACCCACGGTCATTTTGCTGAATGAATATGGCCAGGGACATACCAGAAACTCTATTTGGAGCACTGGAAGGCACTCCTAAGCCATGCTCTGAAGTTCAGAATGGCAGCTTTCCAGAACTGGTGGCAAACAATGTAGAAGGGATTGGCAGATGACATAGGGACTCAACAGGCTAATCACAATGAAAAAAACCTAACATTTACAATGAGAAAAATATAATGAAAGCTTTAAAATAAATAATGTAACATACATCTCAAACCCCCATAACTTGCTGGGAAACAATATGAATAACGCTGCAACAGCAGAATTCTTACCCATTCCCAAGGTGGAGATAATAGGTTTCCAGCTGCACGGGGAAAAAGTTGAAATGAACAGAAATGGGAGGAAGAATGCCACTAGAGTATGGATTAAGGAATAAGGAACCTGAGACAGAACCGTTATTATACACTGCTTTTCCCCCCTCTAGGTACCTGCTGGGCAAAGATGCATTCACTGTATGCATGTATTTCATATGGGTATGTTATCCTGAACATTAAACGGTTCACGTACTTGCTGCAGCACGTAAACCACAAAGGATACATGAGAAATGAAATGAAAAGATATTCAATTTGCAAAAATATGCTTTCTCCATGCTGCAGAATAGTGGTATAGTGTAAACTCCAAGATAGGTCTTGATATCTATGTGGTCAGAATAAAGAGAAACAGCTTGACAATATCTGAAATCCGTCTATGTGTCCATCAGAATCCCACTTCTACAAAGCTCCTTTGTTTTAAATTTATGAATGAGGTTAGGGCTCATGAAACTGAGGGATTAATAACATTTGCTTGAGCCAAACATAGTACGAATAGGCACGGTGCATGTTCCCCCTTACAGCTCTGCCAATCCATCTCAATCTTGACCTGCAATACTCCTGCTGCTTTTCCAATCCTAGGCCTCTCACAAGCAGAGACTGCTGCCAATGTAGCTGAATGGTGCCAAACTGTCTGGGGTTTTTGTGATGTGGCCAGATGGGGACTAGTATGAAATGAAACTCACCTCCACTCAACAGCAAAGTGAAGATTTGAACCCAGGTGAAAGGCTGGAACACTAGCCCGCAGTACTGAACAGCCTTTAGCAACCATATACTTCCAACAGAGGAAGGACAGTGTATTGTGCAAAATGTGTAACACTCAAACTATGCAGAGCGGTCTGTTGGCCATGAGAAGATATGCTAGTGGATGTCAAAAAGATCCACAAAATAGTCCAAGTTGTCTATTTACAGTTTACTTTCTGACTTACAACGGGAAAGACTGTCAGAAGGGAATGCTAAACAGCGCAAAGAATCTTTGACCTAGATTTTTCAAGAGAATTATAAAGGCAAGGTATATTTATTAAAACAAGTAGAGCCTCAATAGTTTTAACTTTACCACGTTAGCTGCTGCAATGCCAATTTAAACTATCACTTTCTATTTTTTTTTTTTTTAAAAGCTAAACTGGGTGGTATTCAGTTCTCCTGATTTAGATAGTCAATAGAAACCGAATGTTTAAGTCACAGTGGTAGCAACTGAAACAGTATTTAAAGCTGCAGCCGTGCTGACCCAAATAAAGAAGAAAAAAAAGGAAACTCTTTGCCTTTAAAACTGTGAGTGCAGAAGTGGCTTTAAGTATTGCATCAGCTACTAGGGCTACAATTTAAACCCCTGGTTTTTAATTAAAGCATGTGCATCAACATTACTGGGGGGGAATCCTAATTCAACCGCGTTTAACAATTTAAATCTGGCTACAGAGACATCAATGGTGGAAGAACACTAAAAAAGAAGTTAACTGAATGTTCCATTAAAATAAAACGACAATCATCTTTTTCAATATTTTAAGCTTATACAGAGATAAAACAAAATGCTTCTAGGAAAAGTGAAAAACTAAAAACAGAAACTTGTAAAATGATTTGGCCTCAGCTACATGTCTGTGCCTTCTGGAGTCCATCCCATTAATCTTCCCCCAACTTCTTTGCAGCCATTACAAAATTATCCACTTCTTATTTTATTAAATTAGGGTTTTATAAATGCATGTATTTCTTTCACATTAATAAACAGGGGCCCACATGCTCTCTGTATCAGAGCATTTGTTAGTATGTTAGAAAGTAGTGTTAGATAACATATATAAAATATTTTCATCTTTTGAAAAGGAATAATGCAAGAACTGAAGTCTTAGACTGACCACAGACTAAGTAGTTTGCTCTGGGACCTGACAGCTATTGCACTGCCTTTATAAAATTTGGTGCAATTTAATGTCAAGAACAAAAGCCAAACAGGAATGTGGCTGAAGTACTTGTCATTGGAAGGGTTTGTTTTGTTTTTTAAAAGAACATTAAAATGAGGCACTGCATGGCTCCAAAGACTGGTGACAAATAAAAAAAATTTAGCGCCACATCAGTAATGACTGAAGCTATCATTGGATGACTGTTTGGTAGTACATTCCCACTTCTTAAAGGACAAGTGACCAATTAAAAAAATCCACCATGTCACTAATTGGCAGTCATCTTGGTAGTCACAACAGATACAACAAGGAATGAGGGCAAAATCCTGCAAGGTGCTCAGTGCCCTCAACTGGTGTCTTCAGTCAACTTCTTCATTCAAATGACTTTTTTATTTAATCATCTTCTGATATCAACATGTCTTTCGACACCTGAAGCCAGAAAGCAGTTGAGACCGTCAGCACCTCAAAGTGAAATACCCCAGCAGATACATTGGTAAGGACGTACAAGGAAGTTGTTGTCCATGTTATACTTGTTCTGGGGATAGAAGGCCTTCAGTCTCCAGGGTGGTTAATCTAGTTTCTTATACCAGAATTATTTCCATATACGTATATATATTTTAAAGTAAAACAAATGTTAAAATTATACTTTGTTTTTAAGCAACTGAGAGCCAGCCATATTATACAGACTTTTTTTTTTTTTTTTAAAGCAGCCAACTCAGATATTTGAAGGCGGTCAGCTCCCATTACAGAAGAGTGTAATTAAAAAAAATGATAATCTTTCTCCGGGTTTTTTAAACCTTCTATAGAATAACAGAATTATATCCCTTCTGCAGACTAGCTAAAACAACTATAACAACGGATATAATTTATTTACCATCTTATCGCTTTAATCCCTATTATATAAGGCTTTTCCCTGAAGAGTTTTACTCTTGGGGGAATTCTGCGCCACTGCTGCACAGCAGAAAAATCCCCCGCAGATTCTCTTTACCTTCCGCAGAAAATGGTTTCTCTGGGGAAGCAAAGAGAAGCTGCATCAGTGCTCACTCACTCCTCCCTGGCAGCTCAGACATGTCTGTTTGGGCTGCCAGGAGAGAGGTAAATCACTGGGCGGAGGGAGGTCTGGGGATGCCCTGGCTGCCCAGGGATGTCTCAGCTGGGTGGGGAAGCGGGAGGAGGATGGAGATGTAGTTCCCCCTCCCCCTTCCCTTCCTTGCACAGAGCTGCTGGGGCTGGGTTATATCCACCAAGCCCCACTCCCTCAGCCCTCCCCCCGAGCCCTAACCACCTTCACCTGGACTCCCCTGCAGAGTCCAATTCCCCCTGCACCTAGAACCCCACACCAAGCGCCTGTGCAGCCAGATTCCTCCTCGTACCCAGACCCCCCGCAAGCTGCCCACACCCAGACTGCGCCACACAGAACCCTGGTACTCTAGAGGGAATTCTGTGCCAAAAAAATTGAAAAATTTAAAATTCTGCAAAGTTCTGCAAAATAACACAGTAACATAATAGCAATGTAATCACACCATTTTCAATTATTTTGGTAATTTATTTCAAAATACTTGTCAGCAAACATTTGAAAATGGTTTGATTATATTGTGTTATTTTAACAAATAAAATAAGCAGATTTTTGCCGAACTTTAAAATATTTTGAACAGAATTTTTAATTTTTTTGGTGCAGAATTCTCTCAGGAGTAGTTTGCCTTGTATCATTCCTCAATCAACACTAAATATTTTTATATTTTAAAAGTTAATCAGGCAGAATGAATATGTTTTTAGGATTTTATTCTGGAGTATGTTCTTTGGTTGCTCCAAAAGAGTTCGGTCTATGATAGTTGGTGAGTTAAGCCCCAATAACTCCTATAGGAAATAGGAGGGGGAAAAGCAATTATTTCAGTGCTGGGATAAAACAATTTAAAAAAATTCCAAGACAGCATGATAAAAATTATACAAGTTCTACTGCTTGTCAGGTCCCTTAAAAAATTCAGGCAACATTTATAGGCATGCCTAACTTCTGAAGCTTCTTTTTGCTTTTAATCATTAGGGTCAAAACTGCCAATAAGCGTTATGCTCTGATGCACAACTGTGGATTGCTAACCTCCACAGAACTACTTGGATGTCAACAGAACTCCACTCAGACACAACCATCCCCTCATAGGTTATCAACCATAGGATCAGGGCCTCAGTGTACCTGGACAGTACCACTGGGTAATTTAAGGCCTGATTTTCAGAGGTACTGAAAACCTTAACTGGTGCTCAGTACCACAGGAAAAAGAAATCAGTCCATATATTTAGGTTCCTACATATGGATGGAGGAGCCTACCATTTGTCATTCCAATTTGACATTTTTGGCCTTGATTTTTCTCTTCTATGGAAAGAGGGAAGAGAAACCATTACAGACTTTACAAAGTATATAACATGCATTAGATTTAAACACCAAAATAACAAAAACCCATACTGGCCAAGCAAAAGTTATTTACATTGTAACCAGTAAAGCATACTTTTACAAACTTCCTTTGTTTGTATATAGCCCCAAACAGTGGCAAGCATTACTGTACTTAAGCGCATCTGTTTTATTTCACTGTGTCAGTTAATGGTGCTTAACAGGTACAAGGGGGCTGTAAAGCAATATTCTATAATGTACTTCTCAGTTACCAATCAAAGACAAATGCACTACAGGTATTTTTCTTTGGATATATCCCTTTCACACAAGGAGAACAGAATGGAAAAATCCTGCTAAAAGCTGCAAAGTTGAATCAAATCATGCTTGACCTTAGTTTGCTTTGGAAAAGAATAATTAGAGTAAACTTGACTGAAACCGGGCAACTAATTATTCATACCTTTTACGTTACAATCTAGGCTCTTTTTTTACATGTCATCTTTATTGATACGTTACAATCTGTGTCCAAGTCAAAAAAAAGCTCCTTGGTAAATCATAACATGTACTGATTTAGTCATTTACAATGTTGCCTATAGCTGTAGTTATCTACAAAAAAATAAAATAATAGGGCAAGATTGTGGCTTTGGATATGCTGGAATGGGAAAGTGGAACTTTAGTGGCCAAATAGATGTGGCCTGAGGCATTTTGCCCACATAGGACACACACAGGAAGGCTGAAGGAGGAACATTACAGAAGTTAATTCTAGCAAACCTGCATCTACTGCCAATATTCATGCAGAGGATGGAGCCTCTTGGGCCCCACGGATAACGCTAGCTGCACACTTAGCCTAGCGTCAAGGGAGCAGTGTCTTGTTTGAATAAAATCATGCCCATAGTGGAGCTGACCTATTGAACTACCTCCCTTAAATCTCTCCATAAAACACACTTCTTCCACAAAGATTTTCAGCAATGTCCTGGGCAAGTTTTCTCCACAACCCTGAGTTGCTCTCATCCATATACAGTGAGTCAGTTATGTTGCATGCATAATAACTAGACTGTAAACTCCTTGGGTCAAGGACTGCTTCTATATAGATATGTGAAGAGCAAAACAAAATCTCGACTGTCTTTTTGTCTGTGTTTGTACAGAACCTAGCACAATGGGGTACCGGCCCATGATTAGAGTTCCTAGGTGCTACCGTAATACATATTATTATTATTAATAATAATTCTTGTTTTTGTACCACCTGAACCAATTCAATGAAAACTCTCTCAAACTTCTGGTCCTTGAAAGCAAACACTAGATGTCACAAACCCCACCCCATATATATATTTAGGACAAAAGCTTTAAACATTGGTACCTAAAATAAATACTTCAATCCATATTTAGGCCCAGACTCAGAAAAACACTTACACATACGCTTCAGTCTCACTGACTTTGATGGAAGTTCTTTCCTGAATCAGGTCATCAGACATTCAAATAAGTGGCCTGATTTTCAGAGATAAGCCAAACGCCTCTGAAAAATCAGGCTATTTATTTAGATAGCTAAATATAGATTTAAGTGCCTAGCTTTAGGCAGTCAAGTCTGAAAATGCTGGCCCTAGCTTGTAAGCTCCTTAGGGCAAGTACCATTAGCTCCCTCTATTTCCTGTAAAAAGAAAAGGAGTACCTTTGGCACCTTAGAGACTAACCAATTTATTTGAGCATGAGCTAGTACTTGTGGCACCTTAGAGACTAACCAATTTGAGCATGAGCTAAGTGAGCTGTAGCTCACGAAAGCTCATGCTCAAATAAATTGGTTAGTCTCTAAGGTGCCACAAGTACGCCTTTTCTTTTTGCGAATACAGACTAACACGGCTGTTACTCTGAAATCTATTTCCTGTATGCCACAAAGCACATTGTGGCACTTTACTATGACTAAACAAATAATAATGGGGCTTGCAAACGCAGGCACCTGCGATGAGGAAACTGGACTCAATTTTTATTGATTCTGTACCCAATTATTCTAAATTAAAAACCAAATCAACCTTGTGATTCAAATGTTTTAATTTCCAGTGCTGTCACCAATAGCTGAAGATGATCCTTGCATTGCTCCTAATTATATATTTATTACAAGGCAAATACTCCTACCAGTCACACAGGACTACTGTTCGTCAGAACCAAAGTGTGATATTATGTATAGTGAAATGTTTGGTTAATTCTGGTAATAGATTTATGGGAACAATTATAGGTATGGAGGTAGCCTAGAATATGATTTAATAAAACCTGGTTACAGCATGTCATAGAAAAATCCCTATCTATATTATTCTTGTGAAGTATTCAATTGTAATGCGGACAGGGCTTTAATGTGAATTAGAAGTGTGTGTCCTACATAAAATCTCATGCATTTAAAAATAGGATCCTGAGGTTGCAAAGCATTACTGAGCTCCAAGTATCACCAAAAAAAGGACAGAAAGAATTGCAAAACAAAGCACTACCTGTACCCAAAGGTATAAGAATATTTTCACAACAATGATTTTGTCAGAAGATTAGAGGAATTTAGTCTTAGTAGTAAAAGGCATTGCACAATACCTGGCAGGAGCTGTTGGATAAATTACTTTTATATGCTGGAAAACCAAATCCTGATTCAGAACTTGTTTGATCCACGCTCTTACTCCGGGGCCAGTGTCACCTGCAAAACACAAACACACAGGAAATGTTATTCCACATATTTATAGGCAGCACCATACAATGCCAAAAATATTTATACCTGAAATTCACTTAATTTACAAACTCGATCCTGCAAGCTGCTCAGCAACTTCTGAAAGTACTGAGAACCCTCAGCTCTCTTTGAAATCAGGACGTACTCAACACCTGTTTGATCACACTCTTAAAGGGGCTACATACTATTGCTTTTATAAACATTTTGCTACAGCATTACTGCCATTGATTTCCCAGTTGGCCACAAAAATCTTGTGTCCTTATAACCTAGATAATTATCCACTGACAGTAAAGTGATAAAAAACCCACAGGGAAATGCAAGAAAATACAAAGTAAAAAACAATCCAAAAAGCTTGTCAGTTGATGTCCTCTTAAAAAAGATGCATTTTATTATTTTCTTCATTTTTTTAATTACAAAGGTTTTAAATGAACAGTCCTCAAAACGTAGTTGAAAATAATAACTGTATAATTAAATATGATGTTTTTATTAGAAATAGAGTTCAACTAAAATCTCAGATCCAAATTCCCCTGAACTCTTGGTAAAAAGGAGTTCAAAATATGAACCCAGATCCAACCACCTGGCTCCTAGAATTATGACAGGCTGCTCAAAATCCTAAATCCAAACCAGTCCCTTTCTTGAGAGTTGGCTGAGATCAGGGTCTGAATTTTGTGGCTCTGGCCGACACCCAACAACAGTTGAGTCCGTGATCCTACAAGCAGGTGTCCACATGCGTGGATCCTTGCAGATTCAATGTATTCAAAGTGTCTCACAAACATCCATCCATTTTCTCCTCCTTTAAAGCTCTTATCTTCAGCGAACATCTGCAGTGTTCTCAATGTATAACTCGAGTTTTGCCTTTAACCAACGCTCATCCACACACACAAAAATGTCTAACTTGGAGTTAAGTGTTTCTTTAAATTGGAGCTAGCTGACCAGTCAGGAAAGTGGGTTGAAGCTCTAGTGGTACTGACACTCCAGCAAATAAACAACGGGGAAGCGGCATCTTGAGTTACAGAAACTGATCAGCGGCGAATCCAATTGCTCTGTACTACTAATCCAAATCACTGTGTATCTGAAGTATTGTTTCACAGTATAGTCATTCTCAATGGAGCCAGGCTAACCTGAGTGGGGTAACTCCATTGTATTCACTAAAGGTAACTGTTGCAGTGAAGACAAGCCCTCAAGTGGAAAAGGCTTTTTATTGCTTTAGGTTTCAACAAAGAAAGCCCCGAGATATTATTTACAAAATAAAATGTAAATAAATACTACGGGATTATGCTTCAGTTAATGAATGGAAGGCAAAAGGACCCTGTCCTGCTACTGCTTACTGCCAAGCACAAAATGTACCACGAATGGCCCTATTTATGTCAAATCGTAAATAACTCACAGCAGTAAGTGCTAGTCTCAATAGTCTTTCCAGGATTGGGCCCAAAAATTTTACAGTGTTTATTTTGACTTTGTCATTTTTTTAAAAAATCTATATACAAATTAAAGACATAACTAGGAGCCCATTGTGGATTTATTCCTGCAAACATGCTCATGAGTAACTTCAATCATGTGACTAGTGTAGGCTGGAATCGAAGCAAATCTCAACAGTCAAATTTGGAACATATGGGTTGTCTGTCTAAGATACAGTATTAACAAAATACTTTTAAAAGCTTGAAAATAAAATTCCTTTCCCTACATATATCTTTCCTTCATTAGAGAACGTAATCCTTGATTCTGCAAATCAAAATTAAGTGTGAATGCTTATAAGCATTTGCCAGATTGGGGCCATAGATCTTCATATGTTTTCTCTGTGATACAGGAGATATCATCACATCTCCCCTTTCTTTACTGCCATTTCATGAGCTTTGAGTGTCAGCAGGAGCATGCATAATGCTGGGAGCCAGGGCTTGTATACACTACCACTGTATTTTCCACTGAATGCATCCGATGAAGTGAGCTGTAGCTCACAAAATTTTATGCTCAAATAAATTTGTTAGTCTCTAAGGTGCCACAAGTACTCCTTTTCTTACTACCACTTATGTCAGTATAATTTATGTTGGTCAGGGTGTGAATAAGCTCCTCTTTCCCTCCCTCCCCCCCGAGCGACTTAAGTTACACCGACCTAAGCTCCGGTATGGACAGTGCTATGGCGGTGGGAGAGCTTCTCCTGCCAACATAGCTACTGCCTCTGGAGAAGATGGTTTTATTATGCTGACGGAAGAGCTCTCTCCCGTCAGCATAGAGCATCTTCTAGTGTAGACCAGCGGCTGTAGCACTTCTAGTGCAGACTAGCCCTTAGTCTGTTTGAACAGCTTGCAGAAGACTCATTAGTTAAGAAACTTTGATCCTCATGTACCAACTGCCATCATCGCCCTAACATTGTCATAATTACCAGGGCTCCCATTTGGATGCAACTAATTTCTGTTACATAAAAAGCACACATCAGAAAGTGCTGGACTTCAGACATTTTTACATACTATTTTAACACTATCTTCTCTTCTGAACAGTACTAAGAAGAATGAATAATGCACAACCAATTCAGTTTCAGGGCCCTATTTCAAAGCCTGAGGCTAAAATCAGCTAGCTGTGATACCGATTGCTACCTTTTCCTTTTAAAATAAAAACACAAGTTTTAATTTCCCTTTCAACCATGAGCGGCCAAACTTCTCCAACCCTCCATGTGTCTCTCAGACACATACACAGAGTTGAGTAGCTGTCTACAAAATGATTACAGATTTAAGGCCTGACTCCAGTGTCTTAAGACCACCGCTTTTCTTGCTGAACTACTATATTGCTTGATGCTAATACTGGATTTACTGCATGGGGAGTTCTCCACTACCTTCCCATTCAATCTGGGGTCAACTCATCTTTGTATTACAATTAACTGGTGGCAACCATTAAGGAAAAAAATGGATTAATGGGATTGCTACTGAGCTGTTGCTCTGTCCAGAGGGCAACAATGCAGTATAACTAAGATAACTGGCTACCCCTGCTTTGGAACCCACCCTGCAGAACTGTTAAATAAAACCAGATAAAAGAGCACTCTTACTTTTCCTTACAGCTCCATTGTAAATATTATGAGTAGAGTTATAACAATAATGAAAAATTGTACAGTACTTAAACCACTTGTGGAATCAACCTCTAACCAATCTTCCCCCACTTTCTAAAAAATAAGAGGAAATTATTTCCTCCAGCGTTAAAGTATTAGAGTTAATAGGAGAAGCTGAGCATATTGTATTAACTCCCCTTCATTGGTATGCTTTGTGAAATCAAAACAGTTTTGACAGTTCTGGTTTAATAAACTAAATTCAAACTGGATTATAAAAATAAAAACACACATGAATACTTTGTCAAATCAAATATAAACATCATGATTATATATATATCAGTAAAATAACTTTAAGAGATCTAACTCAAGCACTGACAGATACTTGTAGACACCACAACAGAATGGATTCCTAAAGCCTCAATCCATCAAATCCTTACGCATACCCTTAATTAATTAGAGAGAGTCAATTTCAAGATTACATTTCCACCTGATGTAAAAATATTAGGGTAAAAAAAAATAGCAAGCAATACCTAAAATGACTATAACTTATAGTGGAGGAAATATTTTTTCAGTTTGTTCACTCTGTGAAATTAAAAGCATTTTTTCATATAGTTAGTTTAAATATTTCACCTGTGTGGTCAGGTATGAACTGGGTTGGGGATTTCAAAAGAATTTACATGATACAGCAGCACCAGTCCCACCGATTTAGGCACTCTTGAAAATGTCACCCCGATCCTGTACATTTTTGTGCACACAAGTAATTTTTTACTTATGAAGGTAATCCCCTGCATGAATTCAGTTATCCATACACCTAAGGCCTTGTCTAGACTAGGATAAATATTATATTTGCTAACACATGCCTTTAACTCACATTGAACTGGTCAAGTTCAAGCTGAGGAGAAGCCTCAGCTTTATGTGTGCACGTTAAAATACATCCCACCTTGTCTACACTAGACTTTTCAAATGCCTCAGTTAGGATGTGTTAGCTACCACACCTTTTATCCCAATCTAGACATGGCCTAAGTGTTTGCAGATCTGTAGCCTTGGTTTCCCTGTTATTTGTGTGCAGACTGCAGCAGGGGGGAGAAAAAAACATTTTTGAAAGGGGAGGAAACTGTGGGTGTAAACCCACATAAACTAGCATGGGAATTTGGGAGCAGGTACAGAACTTCAAACTCATTTTAACTCCGTTTTTGAAATCGTCTAGATTTCAAACCGACAGAGTCCCTCTACTGCCCCTATTGCCATTTTACAGGTGGAGAATAATGAGGCATGGGGGGGGGGGGGGTCAAGGGGTCTGCTTTTGAGCCCGTACTCACACCAGTGATCTCATTAAAGGTAAGGGTGCCACTCGCCTCAGTAAAGCCCTGAGCCTCCAGCCTAAATTCAGGATGGTCCATACCTGTGCACTAACGACTACAACACACCCCTAAGGCCCCAGCCCGGCGCCTCCCCTGCAGAGTGGGCCGCCGTGGCTCGCCCCAGCCCAGCGGCCCCCACCCCTGCAAAAAGCAGGGTCCCCGGGCTCGCCCCAGCCTAGCGCCCCCCTGCAAGTGCCTCGGGACATAAAGCCTTGAGGCCTGCACCTGAGCCGTGCAGCAGGATCACCGAGGCGCTGTGCCTGCCCGCCGGGGACACAACGCTCCGCTGCAGCGCGGCCATGGCCGCGGCTCCCCTCCGCCAAGCGCCGGGCGGGCGCTGCTTCCCGTCCCGCGCCGGCGCGGCTCGCTCGCTGTCTGTCTGTCTGTCTCCGCCCCGCCGGGGAGGCCTTCGCGTGGAGCTGGCGCGGCCGCGCGCCAGGCTGCGGGTTGTGCGTGAGGCGCGAGCCAGGGGCGGGCCTGGGGAGAAGGCGGGTGAGCTGTGGAAGGCCTGAGGCCTTCCCTCACCCGGCCCGCTGGAGCTGGAGCCCCCCTCGTCCCTTCACAGTGCTTCCCAGCAGCTCCCCTACAGAGCCCTCCCCCCAAGGCGAGTGTGGCTCAGGCAGGGCTGTGCCAACTTTGCCTATCGCCATCAGCTCTGGTTTGATCTGAGGTCCAGCTGCATAGGCACCAATGCCCGTGGGACCCTCCATAGCTTGCCTAGTCACGTAGGGGTGCCATCTCCTCCCTGGTACAAAAAACAACCCCCACCAGCCATCTGGGATGAGCCTGACCCCTAAAACTGGAGAGCTGACAGTGTGTACTGATTTCAGAGTAGCAGCTGTGTTAGTCTGCAGCTGCAAAAAGAACAGGAGTACTTGTAAAAAGAAAAGGAGTACTTGTGGCACCTTAGAGACTAACCAATTTATTTGAGCATGAGCTTTCGTGAGCTACAGCTCACTTAGTGTAGCTCACAAAAGCTTATGCTCAAATAAATTGGTTAGTCGCTAAGGTGCCACAAGTACTCCTTTTCTTTTTGTGAATACAGACTAACACGGCTGCTACTGTGAAAGGAGTACTTGTGGCACCTTAGAGACTAACCAATTTATTTGAGCATAAGCTTTCGGATAGCTACTTTCAATAAGGTGGCAACCCTATCCTCGGGTGGGCATATAATCCAATGCTTTGGATCCCCACGCACCCTTGTGACTCATGTTGCAATAATCGGTTTTGTTCCCAAGGGAGCAGAGATCAGGGCAGGCATCCGCTGCAGTGAGCCACTAGAGTTCCAACATTCCAAATTGGGGGGAGGGATTGCATGAAAAGGGACAGATTTTCCACAGAAATGTCATTTTTTCAACCCTCTGTAGCTGCCACTGTGTGATTTTAAAAAAATGGGGTTGTGGGGAAAAACGTACAAGTGGTAGGAGGTGAAGAAATGGCAAAGGGACTGAGAGAAGTAGCAGTGATATCACCACAAGTCCTAGAAGATTCAAAGCTAAAGATTCTCATTTTCTCATTAACAGGCACTGAAAGAGAGGACTGATCCTGAGTCCCTGGCTGACCATTGAAATTTTTTTCTCTTTACTTTGAAAAAACAAAACAGGAAAACAGAACCACACTGAACTTTGCGACTGTCACTTTGGATATTTTGGATATTTCCCAAGCCCCCTACAAAATAAAGTTTCATGTTGTAAAACAGGTCCCAAAGATCAGCACAGACACCACTATATAGTTTTCAGAGTAACAGCCGTGTTAGTCTGTATTCGCAAAAAGAAAAGGAGTACTTGTGGTACCTTAGAGACTAACCAATTTATTTGAGCATAAGCTTTTGTGAGCTACAGCTCACTTCATCGGATGCATACTGTGGAAAGTGTAGAAGATCTTTTATACACACAAAGCATGAAAAAATACCTCCCCCCACCCCACTCTCCTGCTGGTAATAGCTTATCTAAAGTGATCACTCTCCTTACAATGTGTATGATAGTCAAGTTGGGCCATTTCCAGCACAAATCCAGGTTTTCTCACCCCGCATCCCCCCAACACACACACACACAAACCCACTCTCCTGCTGGTAATAGCTTATCTAAAGTGACCACTCTCCTTACAATGTGTATGATAGTCAAGTTGGGCCATTTCCAGCACAAATCCAGGTTTTCTCACCCCCCCCCTTCCTCAGACACTCTTGTTAAACTCTGGATTTGTGCTGGAAATGGCCCACCTTGATTATCATACACATTGTAAGGAGAGTGGTCACTTTAGATAAGCTATTACCAGCAGGAGAGTGGGTTTGTGTGTGTGTGTGTGTTGGGGTGGGGGGGGGGTGAGAAAACCTGGATTTGTGCTGGAAATGGCCCAACTTGATTATCATACACATTGTAAGGAGAGTGATCACTTTAGATAAGCTATTACCAGCAGGAGAGTGGGGTGGGGGGAGGTATTTTTTCATGCTTTGTGTGTATAAAAGATCTTCTACACTTTCCACAGTATGCATCCGATGAAGTGAGCTGTAGCTCACAAAAGCTTATGCTCAAATAAATTGGTTAGTCTCTAAGGTGCCACAAGTACTCCTTTTCTTTTCACTATATAGTTAGAACAGGGATGAGCAGGAAAATGCGCCAAACTGGGATGCTTCAAGTGCTAACTATCATTATCATTAACCCCTGAAGCCGCATTGTGTGTTACGTTCAGAATTTTATATGATGGATTCAGGGTTGCCTTTAATAATCTATCAATACTATTGTCACAGTTCAGGGCATGTTTGACCTCTCTCTCTGTTCTCTCTAAGTGCACCCCCTCAGGTGACAGGCTTTGTGTCTTCACTTCCCTCTGGGGTGGAATCCCATGATTCTCCCACTCACAGGCTATGTCTCCACTAGGAACGCTGCAGCAGTGCTGCTGTAGCGCTTCAGTGTAGACACTCGTTACAGTGATGGGAGGAGTTCTCCCATTGCTGTAGTTAATCCATCTCCCTCAGAGGTGGTAGGTAGGTTGATGGAAGAATTCTTCCATTGACCTAGCGCTGTCCGTGCTGGGTCAGCTTAACTGTTGCTCAGAGGGGTGGATTTTTCACACCAGTGCACAACATAGCTGGGACCACCTAACTTTTTTATGTAAACCTGGCCTCAGACTGGTTCTTGGACTACAGCCTCCTATGGACCAACCAAGACTGCTCAGTAGGCCTGACTGGGTTCAGTCCCTGCAATTCTTCCCTTCAGGAGCTGGTAAATACAGTGACCCAAACAAAGTATTGTTTCACCTAAACAGGAACAAAGCATAAGAAGAAAAAGATTTTAACACAATAAACACAATAAACAGTTTAAACCCATATCTGTCTTACCTAATGCTTTAAGTAAGGCTGGTTTATCCCAGGTGCCTCACCTCTTGGTCTGGAGAGGACAGTCGGCATCCATGCAATCTCTGTCTCTGTCTCTCCCTTTTCTTCAGGTATAACCCTTTTATTTACTCCTAAATTTTTTGTCAATGCCCTGTGTCTCTTGAACCTGGTTACACTGTTTTATGTGGTCCACAGAGGTCCAGGGGGAGGAACAGGTATATACTTCAAAGCAATTGATGCTCTACATTAATCTTCTAGATACCAGCAAATGGGTCTACATGCAAGTATTGTCTGCTTCCTAGCTTACATGCTGTCTACTCCTGTTGGAATTAATCCCTTGTAGTTGTATAGGAAACCACACAATAACAATCTAACAGATGGACATATAATATAAAATAATTCAGGCATCACCCACTTCCTTCACAACTATGTGCTGGTTATGTTGGTCTGAGTATTGTCAAGATGTTTACTGCATGCGTATATTGGGTTAATTCAATATCCGGGTGGTCAGGAAATGGACCCAAGAAGATGGACAATAGGGATTCCCACATAGGAGCTTTGTGGCAACACCCAGGATTATTAACTGTAATATTCTATTTCCGCCTGTTGCGGGGCTTGCCAGACTGGCTTTCCTAGGACTCAGTCACACACACATACACTTCCATGAAGGAGGGGAGATCAAAAGACGGGGATTTAAAAATATTGCATCCTATCGATCAGGGTAGATGGCTAAGGCAGAGAAACTGACCCCCATGCTTCCTGGGATGCCTTGAGGAAGCTTCCCCTGCCTAGATCTTCATTTCAGGATGGTCAGATTTAAAGTAAAATAAGCATTTTGTTATTTTAAAATTCTCTTCTCCCATTATGCTGTGTTCCTGTTGTTACAATTAAACAATATTTGTTTTTAAGAAGCCTGATATGGGTTACTGTATTTACTACTGGACACAGTCCCAATGGGAAGAATTGGAGGTGCCGAACCCAGTCTGGCTAGCTGAGCAATTGTGATTGGTACACAGGGAGCTAAGTCCAAGACCTGGTCTGTGAGTGGGAGAATGCCAGGATTCCACTCCTGAGAAAGGTGAAGGTGAGAGGCCTGTGTCATAAATATAAAGGAAAGGGTAACCACCTTTCTGTATAACATAGGGTACAAGGACAAGGCAAAGTTTGTACCTTGGAGAAGTTTTTAACCTAAGCTGGTAAGAATAAGCTTAGGGGGTCTTTCATGCGGGTCCCCACATCTATACTCTAGAGTTCAGAGTGGGGAAGGAACCCTGACAGCCTGTCACCTGAGAGGGTGCACTTAGAGAGACCAGAGGGGGTCAAAGGTGCAGCTAGCATCAAACCATGACAGTTGATATGAACCCACCCTTGCTACCGGAACAAATCAAACCCCTGTCACTTCCTTCTATTTGAGATGGGCTCAGAAGCTTTCATTGTTGTTTCCTTTCCTCCGTTTTAATCTATTTATAGAATACATTTTAGGTTTGTGGTTTCTATATTTAGAAATGTCATATAGTAGGCAAACTGTGGAGCAAACAGTAAAGGAGGTTTGTTCCTTTCATGTAGCTATACATGTCTGGAAATGTAATTAAGTTTCAGTGTGACCAGGTGTAGTTTTACAGATAAAGGCCCAGTTGGCAAATGAACTTAGGGGTACCAGGTGGTAGAGACTTTGCTTAGTAATTCTTCAAGGCATATCTCAAAGTGAGGGACCTAGACAGACCCAACATTGTGAAAGGCCCAATAGACATTGCCAGTTTTGCCCACCCTTAAATCCATCCCTGTACATAACTACTTTGATGCTTTTGATAGCTCTTACTGTTCTGCGGGTCTGAATACCTTGTGAGAAAGCATAGGAGTTCTCATGTATTACACTGTGTCCCTTGCCCATTTTCATGAAGCATGTATGCTTTCATCAAGGCCATAAGAATATTTTG